TCTTTCTTCCCAAGTTTGCTTCATTTCTGAATTGGGTTTCCTCTAAATGGTCATTGGGCCTCCTAATAATGCAAAACAGTTTAGTAAGCCCACAAATAATAGAAATAAACCATTTTACACTCAGTTGCTCCCTAATTTTCAGAACTACAAGTCACTCTGGCTCAGATTACAACTAATTGCTCTTGAACGCAAACTTAGTTCTAAATGACAAAATTAACATCAAAAAGTGCAGAATTCAGCAATAAAATACACAAGATAGCTCTCCAATTTTGAAAGCTATTAATGGTTTTGGAAGATAGTTATTGAGAAGGGTACTGATCATATGACAAACATCCAAAAAAAATGGTAATATTCAACCCCAGACAACATTGCTTGGGGTTGATTTCTGAATCAAATAACATTCGGAAATTAAAACTGCACTCGGGTTATCGGGCATAACTAATAAAATAGTCGGTATATTCTTTTGTTTTTGTTTTTGTAAGACATAGACCTATCCTCCAAGCCTTGCTGAGGAGTCCCCTAGGGAGACCCTAGGAGGGAGAAGGGATAGAATAAGGAAAATTGAGATAGAGAGCAATTACGAGGATCGAACATCACTATTCTCATTGTAGTTAAATAAAGCAAAATGTTGATAGATAGCACGAAGATAACAATCAAAAGGTGATCCAATAGCAACAGTCAGTTTTTGTGTGAAGTTTTAGTAGGATTTTTAGTAGATAGGAACAACATTATTATTAATTCTGTTCATATTTTTAAATAATAGTTGGTAGTGGCTTTCCTTCCAGAAATGCTATAAATTACACCAGTTATCTCTCTTGTTGAGAAAAAGCAGCTACATGAGAAGTGGTAGAGCCACGTTGAGACCAGCCAATGACATTAAAAAATGAACCATTTTATCTGTAATCATAGTATGTGGTAAACAAGAGAAATTCCCTGTACCGAGAGCTAATCGATTCTAACCTCGACATTTTTTCGAACCCAAATGGCCAAACCCCAACCACCCTTCCTCGAACAAATCTTTGGTGCCTGTCAGCTAAAGTTTTATTTTCTCTGATAAATTTTCTCTCTCTTCAATGATGTGTAGTGCTCTCATTGGTGAGATGCACTGAATCTTGGTACAACAGTAGCACTTAAGATTTATTCCCCTTCCTCATCCTCCTCTCTCTATCCCTCAAATCTCAATCGACGTCTTGGTAGAGACCAAATCCACAATTTCTTGTTGACTGGTTTGGTATGCTGTGGATTTACATTGCCAAGCTCTTCTCTTTCTTGTTAAGCGACCAAATCTTAGATATGATCTTAGTTTAAAAACCAATTACACGGTGGCAGCGACGATGAAGATGAGGTCATGCAGTGGCGGAGCTAGGAAAAAATATCAGACAGTGACCATTTTTTTTTGGAGAAACTTTTTCTAATACATAAACTTTTTAATATACATTCTCGAAAAGAACTTTAAGAGTCTCTCACCTAGTAAAAAAATATCATTTCTATTCGTCGAGGTTGGACATTGCCAACTGAACGTCCATGCTGATGTTCAGCTGCTGCGGGTGACAGTTAGCGAAAATGAGGTTGTACAGATCGGCATCAGTTTCGTTGTAGAGCATGGAGAATGAGTCGTTGCCATCAAGGGAACTGAAGGTGTAAACAAACTTTACGAGATCATATTGAAGCGCACAACGAATCTCACCGTCTTCGAGTTGCTGAAGAACACGGAGCCAAGAATCGAGGGTGCAGAGGAAGAAGCCAACCTTGGAGAGGTCGAGGTTCAAGTTCGAGAGAGAGGTTTTGGAGACAATAGGTTCGAGGCGACCGAATTAAAGAGAGATTCTATTGTCTCCAAAATCTCTCTCTCTCTCTCGAACCTCGACCTCTCCAAGGTTGGCTTCTTCCTTTGCACCCTCGATTCATGGCTCCATATGTTCTCCAGTGTAACACCCCGTTCTAGAACCGGTTTGTTAACATCGCATTATGATATTAAGCGCAGTTACAATCACATTGGCTCAATTAAAATCCAGATAAGTTTTTCTTTTTAAAACGACGCCGAATTTAAAATAGCCAATTGCGTGATCATAACCATATTACCTTGCGGAATCAGATAAACCAAGCTTAACATCATGTTCTTATTCCATTTTTAAACCATTAATTTACTTCTTATTTATTTCCCAACTTCTACTATATTGTAGATCTCTTCGTTAGCTACGCGTGGTTTCAAACCGCTCCTCATTTGGAGCTCTGTAGCTCAAGTTATGACAATTTTACTAACTCAGGTGCATGCTGAAAAATTACGCGGGTAGGGCGCTTAAGCTCGCTCCAGGGCGCTTAGGCGCCCACAGACAGAGGGAATTTACATTTTTTAGCCACCAAGGGCGCTTAAGCTCGCTCCAGGGCGCTTAAGCGCGCTACCTGGGCGCTTAAGCCCCCATTTTGGGCGCTAAAGCCCCAGGCGGCAGAAAGCTTTTGGTCTTCACAGGTGCATCAGGGCGCTTAAGCCCCCTCATGGGCGCTTAAGCCCCCTGAGCAGGCTTAAGCCTCCATTTGCAGGCTTAAGCCCCCTCTTCTGGGCAATTTCCTATACTCATATTTTTCATGCATCTTTCTTGGGGAATCAATCCTACACATTTTACAACCTATTTAACAAGCTTGTGATATCCCTATATCATTGCTTAACTCTCATCCTCTCATCATTGATTTAACAGAAATTGAGCAGCATAACCTTTGTTTTCTCAACGTTTCCCAACTTAGCACAAGGTACCTAATTGACTTTCCAGCTCAACATATCCAATACATAAAAATACATTCATGCATTTAACTTACAGTAAGCATCATACACAAATATCTTCATTACTTACAATATTACATCATGTCTTAATTACAAATCTCATATACATGCCAAAGGACTTAGCTACAAAATGAACATGATCAAAGCAAGTAACCATGTATCAGATACCCATTGTTACTACAATGATCATGCACTAAGTCCTCCAAAATACATCATGTGGCATCAAAATATACATATAGCAATGCTAAATGGCATGCAACTCAACATGTCCAGCTATCAGGTACAATCTACTCATGCTTCTTGCCTCGATCAACCTCACCTCTATCAGTACCTGAAATGATGCCCCACAACACGGGGTGAGATATACGAATATATCACAGTAAACCAGAGGTCCTTGGAGATCACTCCACCCTAAGGTTCACTTTGATGTACACATAATCATAATAGCTTAACACATTCTTATCCACAAGCATCACATGGACTTCCAAGAGAGATCCACTATGGGCTGTTTCTCTTAGGCTCTTACCACATGGAGATCCACATAGGGCTGTTTTCAAGGGAAGTCCTTTCCTCAATCTAGGAACCTCCAAGAGGGGTCCACATAGGGCTGTTCCTCTTAGGCTCTAACCACATGGAGATCCACATAGGGCTGTTTCCAAGGGAAGTCCTTTCCTCAATCTAGGAACCTCCAAGAGGGATCCACATAGGGCTGTTCCTCTTAGGCTCTAACCACATGGAGATCCACATAGGGCTGTTTCCAAGGGAAGTCCTTTCCTCAATCTAGGAACCTCCTAGAGGGATCCACATAGGGCTGTTCCTCTTAGGCTCTAACCACATGGAGATCCACATAGGGCTGTTTCCAAGGGAAGTTCCTACCAATCATCCTCATCATAATACTATCACTCATAACCTCAATCACAATCCTCAACCATTACCTCATTCATTATTGCTACTTCTATAATCATTCCTCAATTACTCTTAAACAATCAAACATCAACCAATAATCATCAATCAATCATAACATGTATCAATGCATGAATCAATGCATGAGCATACAATCACTATCATAATTACATATCACATCTCATAAACCATTTCTCCTCAACGGAGTATGGTGGAACACTCAATGGGATCAACCACAAGGTCCAAAGGTTTACCTTGCTCTTTGAGCTTTCCTCAATTGCACACAACCCCAAGGGTTGGTCACTCCACTTGGTCCTCTTGCCTCAATCCTATCAACACAAGGAATACAATCAAACAATGCTAACAATGCAAGGAAATCCATAGTTCCAAGCCTAGATTTCTCCAAACATCAAAGCATACTAAAATAACACTATAAACTCATTTCTACCGATTAAATGTCATTCCTAGCATTTTTCACAACATACTCTAAGCCTCATTCTTCCTTGAACATAGCCAATCTACTCAACATTTCATAAAAACCCTAAAACACTATTCATTAACCCTAAACTCATGCAAATCTCCAAGAATCATGTGAAAGAGAGTGGAAACTTACCACCAATGATCCCACAATAGAGGAATGAGTGTTCCTCAAGCTTCCATGGAGGTTGAAACCCCCAAAACCCCAAAATCTCACAAAGGGCCGAATTTTTGAGGGGCAATATCCCTCTCCACAATGCTCCCCACTCAAAACTAAGCTTGGATTATGAAAGAGGGGAAGATTTAGAGTAGTTTAGGCTTTTGAATCACCCAAAACGGTTAAGATTTGCTCTCACTCTCTCTTCCTCCCTCCTTTCCCTTCTTCTTCTTTCTCCTTCTTCCTTTCCTCTTCTCTGATGCTCGACGGGTTGCTTGGGGGGGGTTTGGGTTCTTTTGTGTTCTTTATCACTTAACATTGGTTAAGTGAAATAATGCGGGTATTAGTTCGTCTATCTATTCAACTCCATTAATTACCAAACTTTACCCAAAAGTCTGGAATATTATTCTAGGAATATTTATAATTTTATTTTTATATTTTGGGCACTTTTGCCAGTACCCATTTATACCCCTTAATTTTCACTGAGTACACTTTTTAACTCCAAAGTGACTCAGATTCATTTAATTAAGTCTTATACTTAATTTTATTCACTAAAACATGCTTAATTATTTAATTAAATTTAATCAATTAAATGCTTAAGTTTGGGATATTATATCCAGCAACTCGAAGATGGTGAGATTCGTTGCTCGCTTTAATCCGATCTCGTCAATTCCGTTTACACCTTCAGTTCCCTCGACGACAAGGGCTCCTAGTTGAAATCAGTACTGAATTTGGTCTTGGTTTCAACAACAAAACTGTGCAAGTTAGTTGTGGAACATAGTGACCTGCAAACAAGGGTGCATTACCTTACTGCAGTTTCAAAATGAATATATTCATTATTCATTTATCTGAAATATTTTACCAGCATAGCCCTCTCCTATAATGAATTATCGTTATTTGAGTACTCTGGGAAATCAGTGAACCAGCGCTGTAGGAAAACAAGATTGTCCCTAGCTGTACAGGCAAGACACCGTCATGATCAGGTTCTTGAGAAATGTACAAAACACATTAAGAAGTTGATAAAACCTTAAGCTTACGTTAAACTATAATTCTTTTGTTACTACGTAAATGCTATTGTGCAGAAGATGAAGTAAAAAAACCTTTAATTTCATCTGTCACTAAGTCATAGAAAGAGGTATTGGTAGAGAAGGAGAATCCAACAACAGCTGGTGATTCCAAGTACAGCATATTTGCTTCTGTGAAAATGACAAAATGATTAAGTAATTTCGGATATAAAAAACAAAACGGAGCAAATTTTGACAACTCCCCACCAAAAAAGAAAAAAGAAAAAAAAAATGTATTTATAGAATTGATGGGTTTGAAAGTGCCATGCTCTTCAAAAGCTCCAATTCCAAAAGATGAACAACCAGGCCCTTCAAATGTCATACAAGAAAGCATTTTAATTGCTTCGTTAAGTCTAACAGGATTATATTAAGTAATATTCTAAAATAAATGTATAAAATAAAATCACATACATTATACGTAAGATAATACCTCCATTCAACCAGAGTACTAGTGGCTTAGAAGCAGGGTCTTCTTCTGCTTCAACAAAATAGTAAAACAATGCTCTCTGCTCCACTGCAATGTAACCAGAATATTGCTGGAATTTGACCGGTGGCTGCCCCGGCAAAGTGTTTATCTTATCAGCTTCTGGAACTGAACTAACACCTACAAGTGTTAGTGCAACAAGAATAATTATTGTTGCAATCATAGTAAATGTATTAGGGAACATGTAAGATGTGAGAAGTTGTTGGTTTAATTGGTAATGAATGAAGGTTGAATGCAAAGGATTATAAAGGCATAAGTAATTGCCGTATTACTACTATAAACTATGAGTACTGACGTTGGAAATATTTTGTTGACCTTTACGAAAATGGTGTAGACATCCATATTTAAATTTTAGGGATTGATTGGTGCCGGCTTTTTCTTGTTTTTTCTTATCATTATGTGTGACCAACACCATGAATTGAAATGTATTACAATGCGAAAATAGTATAATTTAAATAAAAACAAGAAGATAACACAGTCCCTTCAATTACAAAAGGATAGGACAGATGGGTAAATGAAAAACAAATCAATTATAGACATTTTCAAACAAATTTACCCAGCCAAGAACTAGGGCCTCTACTATATATATAAAAATAAATAAATAAATAAATGGTTCGTTTTTTCTAAAGTTACTTTAGACAACTTTATCTAATGTTCGCCGAAACGACGTCGTTTTGGGACAAAAATCATGGTGTATTTGTAACTTTAATATATTTCAGGATTATAATAGTCTTTATCATTTTAATTTTTCAACTTTAAAACAACGTCGTTTCGATAAACATTAGATAAAATTATCTAAAGTAAAATTAGATATTTTTTTCCCGTAAATAAAATAGCAACGAAGATTAAGCTAGTGGTGAGTTGTTTCGCAGTTTATATGAGATTACAGGTTGAAGCTCACCGTTCTCATTTTGTATAAAAAAAGATTTAAAATAAAAGAAATGGTTATATATCCTTAACGTAATCAATGTTTTGTAATTAGTACGAGGAAGGATATATTTACCACTAAAAAAGTTTACAACCTTTACAACTAACCTAATTACCGTTGATTTCCGTCAATCTAACGGTTATAATTTATTGGAAATTATTGTATCGTATTTATTAATTAATTATTAATTCCCATAAATTATAACCGTTAGATTGGCGGAAATCAACAGTGATTAAGTTGGTTGTAAATGTTATAAATTTTTTTGGCGGTACGTATATGAGTATATCCTTCCCCTATATATATATATAGAGGTAAGATCCTTTGACACCAATGTCAAATTTGAAATTTGACATCTCATCCGAGAGCCATTAGATAAAAAAAGATCAACGACTCTGATTTGTAAGCATCTGACACCGTTGATCTTTTTTGATCTAACGGCTCTCAAATGAGGTGTCAAATTTAAAATTTAACACTAATGTCAAAGGATCCTACCTCATATATATATATATATATATATATATATATAAAGTATTTCTACTGCCAATTTAGATAAAGTTATCTACAGCTACCCCTTTCTAACTAAGTATGACCGGTCATACTTAGTTAGAACAATAATGCTGTTCTTTTTTTCTCTTTTCTCAGACACTGTCGGCTGACGTTACAGAGAGAGAAAATGCAATTTTAATGTATGACCGGTCATACTTAGTTAAAATGGGGTAGTTTTAGACAACCTTATCTAAAGTGGCTGCAGAAATGTTTTTCCCTTATATATATATATATATATATATATATATATATATATATATATATATATATGGTAAAATCATTTCTGCAGCCGCTTTACGTACAACAACGATAGATGTATGGTTATGATTCCTCACATTTAATGCTTTCTTCCTTTATATGGTTATGATTCCCTGCATTTAATGTTTTCAAGTATATATATGGCAAGTATTTGATTGCTGCACGTACAACAACTGCAGAAATGTAAATTCCTTTATATATATATATATGAAGAATATTATATTTATAAACTTTTTGTTTACAAATTCTTACAAATTACTCTATGTTTGACCGGTAAGACACTCTTGAGTGAAGTCTTACCAGTCAGAGATAATATAATTTGTAAGTTTGTAAAAAAAAAAGTTTGTCAATATAACACTTCTCGTTGTTTATTTATTTATTGACTCTAGTAAAATCTTGATTAAATATGCCATTTTACTTTTTCAGGAATAAGTGGATGGGAAAAATTATTCTCATGTTATTAGAGAGTAATTTTTTTTTACACATCCATCAATTTCCATGTGGCTCAATTTTTTTATTTTTTATTTATAAATGAGTGGGTCCCACATATAATTGTGTCTATGATAGAAGAGAATTACTCTCCTAAAACATGAAATTAAGAAAGATCTAAGTGGACTTTTTTTTTTTTTTTTTTTTTGGAGTTACCCAACCCTAATTATCTCTTTGAGACGAGTTGGCTCCCTCCGGTATCCCCACGAGCTTCGACTCTTTGAGCCGGCTATGGGAGTAATCCGGAGTGCGGGGGAACAGTGATGGCTAAAGGTTCAGCCCCCTCCCCAAGAATGCATTCAGCGGGAATCGAACACATATCCAACCCCACTAACTCAGCGCCAAGTTACCAACTGAGCTGCACCCGTTGGGTGTCTAAGTGGACTTTTTTTCCATAACGGATAATGATTATGGGTGTGATTATTTCTATTCCAATTTGTGCAACATACCTTTTTTTTTTTTATCCATGTATGGACACTGGACCTCCTACTACTTAGGTACATGTTGCAAACTAGAGCCATTAAAATAGGTTCATCTGTCTCATCAGCCCTAACTCATGCGGGTGAAGAGCATAAAGATCCACAATTAATAATAAAACCCTGCAAAATCCTATGGGTTAAGGAAATGTCATGACACGATACAAATTTTGACAAGTATACAAATACACTTAATACGAATAAAATACAAATTTGAAAACAAGTCAAATACTCCAGTGAACTTTTGTTCCCCTCCTAGGATACGTCATGGGTTGCACTGAAGTTTTATTCTCCTTCTTGGGTCTCACTAGAGGACTCCTCCGCAAGGCCTAGAGGATAGGTCCTATACCTTACCAAAAGAAAAATGTACCAACTAAATTTTTTTTTTGGGTGAAAATGTACCAACTAATTTATTAGTGGAAAAAATGTGTATTATTTTAAATGACACAAATTGTATCATTTTATAAATATAAAAAAATGTTAATCCCACTAAAAATAAAATAAAATAAAAATATGAATCTCATCTTTTTGTGTTTATAAAACTTATATTATTTAAAATAACATGTATCAACTAATTTATTAGTGGAGAAAATGTGTGTTATTTTAAATGACATAAATTATGTCACTACATATATATATAAAAAGATGTTGGTCTCACTAAAAATAAAATAAAATAAAAATATGAATCTCATCTCATTTGTCTATAAAATATATCATTTAAAATAAGATACCCCCGTTTCCCTTTGTTAGTTGTGCCAGACTGCCAGGTAACGTGGAAGCAGTTTTAATTTCTCAATGCTTTATCAATACGACAACATAGTTGATATCAGAGCACTTCAAATAATTGGATAGAAATACTTTCCAAAGAAGTGCAATCAACATCGTGCTCCTAATCTTTTTGTATTATGTCGACTTGCGACACCTCGCAGGTTATTTTTGAGTTCGAGTATTTGATTTGTTTTCAAATTCGTATTTCGTTCGTATTAAGTGTATTTGTGTACTTGTCAAATTCATATCATATTATGTCGTGTGAACTCGGTTTAGAATCTCAACCTCCAAGGAATAAAAATTGAGATTCTATAAATTTATACAAAATTTGTCTACGTATCATAGAATAAATAAACTACAAATGCACTGAACTTAAGTACGAGGATCGAACGTCACTATTCTCACTTTAGTGAAATAAAGCAAAATGTAGGTAGATAGAAATTAAGCACGAACATTACAATCAAAAGGTGATCCAATAGCCATAATCAGTTTCTCTATGGAGTTTAGAAGGATATTTAGTAGATAGGAACACCATTATTATTAAATCTGTTCATATTTTAGATAATAGTTGGTAGTGGCTTTCCTTCCAGAAATGCTTTAAATAGGACAAGTGATCTCTCTGGTTGAGAAAAGGGCGCTTTATGAGATGCTCCTCTTATGGTTGCATATGATAATATGTCTCCATATACCTGTGTCCATCCTGCTACCTGAAATTTACCAAATAAAGGTTGAGTAAAATGGCACTGCATAGATGAATTGAAACTTTTCAGGATTTATTTGCATTCCAAATATTAACCTGTTTTCCTTGAAACCAGGTTCTATAAGCCACTGTTGTATTCAGTCCAAGTTCCTTGGCTAATCCGTTCACTAGTGATCGTGATCCCAATAATGGGATGACTGAATCTTGATCTCCACTGTACAAAGAGAAATAATTTTGTTTGCTTTAAAAATGTTATGCCTTGATGAATCATGCTAGGTAGGTAATGTGTGGAGTTAGCTAAATATGGATAGTTGAATAAATTCACTAACCTGTATACTAGAACCGGGATGCCATACTTAACAAGTGACCCTAGAATAGGAATTGTTGGTATCTCTAGATTCTTGTTGTCATACTGGAGAACTCTGTAACACAAGGTACATTGTGTTGGCAAGAGATATCATATAAGTCTCAAAAAGAATGCGACAAATTATGAAAACACGAAAAAGGTAAATTAAAATCGACTTGCTAAAGAATGCTAAACTGGGATGTTAATTTGAAGATTGGTGAATAAAGGACCATAAAATAAGGTGGTAATAGATATAGTAAAAGTTTTATATCTTTCATTAGAATTAACTGTCTTCAGTTGCTAAATGCCTTTATAAAATATTTACCATATTCGGGAATATACGAAGAAAATAAATGTGATGAAAATTAATGTTTAACAAAACGGATGGGGTCTAATAGTCATTATTAGTTACTTTTCCTCCTCTCTGAATATTTAAATATCTGCATCCATAAACCACTCAAGTATATGCCATCTTTGAAGCAATAAAACTTACTCACTGCAAGTTGACCATTCCTTTACGCCAATGAGCTTAGCATGGAGAGCTTCCTGCACTTCTTTCCTGTTTAAGTATGCTAATGTTTTATCTTCCACACAAACATCTATCTTCTGTGCCTCTTGCTGATCAGAGACCAAAAGAAAATGAAGAGAACAA